CCTGTTGGTAGATATTATTTTAGCGGGGGTGAATAACTAGAAACTGAATATAACACAGAATATGGAAAGCCCTATCATTAAATGTGAGCACAATCGTCATACAACATTTCTTTCCAGTTTATAAGGGTTCTGTGAATACCCAGGTAAAATGTAAACTGGTCCTTAGGACGTAACAATATTGGAGCAGCAAAAAACATCAGACACAATGTATGAATAATAATGTTCGTGTGCAATATGTGTACTATATTAGTAAATGCATATTATTATAGAATAGTAAAATAATATCTCTTACTTCTCTCAATTTAACGACCACTCTTTATAACGTCGAAAAATGTTCGGTCCCTTAAGTGTCGTTATATAGAGTTTACACTGTATTTGTTTTATCAAAAGTAGTACTTAGTGAAATATCTGCTGGTAATTTTACTGATTGTATTTAAAGTTTGAATATAAAACCCCTTACTATTTCTACCTTTAAAATCCTGTTTGTGTAAGAATGTGTTGCATCGTCCCGTCGTTCTTTGTTATTTCAACTCAACGTTTAACATCAATGACTGGTCTTCTTGGAAGCCAGGCAGTTCGTTCCCCATTCCGGGCCACGCCACTAGCCAGTTCTTGAAACCTCTTGGCTATCCTCGTCTTTCTCATATGTTTAAAAGCATCTGCCGGCTTTGTCACGTTTCCAAAGGTATGTTTCAGGTATGCGTCCCAGAGGTCGTCGTATTCCTTCCATGGATACTGACCTAGACAACAACGATGTATTGTGTATAATTCTTCCTCTCTGGCACGCACAACACTCATACACGCGCAAGTCAAAAATCAATACCAAAATCGATATTTCTATTGCACTCCGATGAACGCTGCCTTTTTTACGAATCTCAAAGGACTTTTGTTGCAATGCCGCCCGATGCGACAGGTCGGGACTCGGCGGGCATTCTCAACAAAATTTCGTGAAAATAACGGTCACGTGCGGATTCCGTTTTAATGCTCTTCGAAGGTTCTTGCGAACTGCCTTTCTTCACCGGCGGTTCGACGCTCAACCGCCACCATATCGTTTTATAAATATACGTCTAGGTGGCCGAGCTGGAGGACCGTGTGACCCGCAAACAGAACAAAAGACATTTTACTTATGCAACGGGTTATGGGTGTAATAATACGTTTGCCAGGACTAATCGTGGTACAGTACGACACAATAAAGAGACATAGAACGCGGTAACAGAAAACAAGAATCCGCTAATTATCCTGGCTTATCCTGAAAGGATACTTAAGGATGGTGCAGTATTAATCCGTAAAAGGTTGCCGTTTAATCTAAATCTAAGGATATAAGGTAGAAAATGTTAAAAGCGTTCTCAATGTGGTGTTATAGGTGAATGGCGAGGATACCGTGGACAGAGAAGGTTAGAAATGAAGAGGTATTGGAAAGAATAGGAAAACAGAGAGAGGAAGATAGGTTGGTGGGACACCTCAGGCATTAAGGGGTAGTTAGAGACATATTAGAAGCAGAAACAGGGGTTAAAAGGAGTAGAGGTAGACCTAGATTGGATTACTGTTCACAAATAGTTAAAGATGTGGGATGTTCCAGTTTTAGGCAAATGTGATGATTAGTTCAGGATAGAAAATACTGGAGGTGCGTGTCCAACCAGTCTTAGGACTTAGAAACTATTTATTAAACCACTTTCTGTCGTTGTCGTCTTTTTATAAATAATTTTGCTAGCATGGTATGGTAAATCATTGCGAGTTTCGTCTTTTACAATAATTTTCGGTCCTATCAACAGGAGAACCGTCGCACGCATAAACTAAACACAAAATTACCGATATTTCGTGAAAAGTCACCCACTTGAAATCGTATAAATAGTCGCACAGCCTTGCAATTTCTTCACTATAATAAAGTATATCCGATCTAAAACTGCCTTCTGGTATTTGCCACAACACCATTAGGCACCACGGCCAATTTTTTGCATCGATGTCATTAATTTTACAGAATCAATAAATTGTAGATTCTCTGGTTCACGTTATTGAACCTATTAACGGGCCAGTTTAACGAGACGACGTCTATGGGTAATAAATTATATACATGGTACTGTGAGAGAGCTATTTGAGCACCTTTTATGACACAAATCTTGCACTGTATAGGGTGACGTATTAATACAGAGACATTCGCCACTAGACGTCGCCTTCCGAATTTGACCTGAACCATAGTCAACACCGTTTTATCTACGAAAGAATACTGGAGATTTTTATAACATATAAAGTTTTTCATGTAGTGCTGACGTTTGGCCAATTTGCTTTTGCTATCGTTCAGGACTGTGGCGATTTGATAGTTTTTAAGAAAGTAATTAATTTTTTAGAGTAAGGTATTGAGTGTGTGGTTGTATATATTTTTTGGTATGTCTGTGATGCATGTATTTGTGTGTTTGGAATTTCTGTATTATTGTATTATTATTGTGTAAATATTCTTTTCTTATAATTCTATTTTTATACTTACTCTATTCTATACCTACTCTATACCTATTCTTCAGCTAAACGACTATTTAATTGCCTACGTACTTTGCTATCATCCCTTTTAACAATTCAACTCTGTATACTAACTGCATGACGTCTATAATTCTTACTTTTCCTAATTGCAGTTTTATGGTCAGTTTCTTCGGTGATTTGGGGTCAAACTTAATTTCTAGGTATTTCTTCTAAACTAAATTTCCAGGTTTTACTACCATCTTATTGGTTCCCTACTTTAATTAACTTATTTCTAACTCCTCCTTATCACCCTTCTTACGATCTCTTTTTCAAAAACTAAAATCAGTTCTGACTTATCCTTCCTAATTTCAACTTCACCATTCTACATTCTTAATTCTAGTCTTCATTTTTTTGTTCTTGTTTATTAAAGTTGTTATCGTATTCTGCGTTCTATTATTTAACCACCTCAACATCAGGACACACAACGAGACTAAAGTGGTGACCCCGTAGTTTTTTTTGTGCGTCAGTGTTGTGTTAAGTCCTAACTGTTAATAATAGTGAGAGGTGACAGACAATTGTAAGTACTTTTTTGAGTAACATTTTAGTGTAACATCTTGTGCGGTAGATTTAAGTGTAAATAGACTAGATTTTAGTGACCGTAATATAAGCGAAATGGCTAATTCAGAAGAACAATTAAACGTGCTGGAAAATGGCTTCGCAATTAGTCACGTCGCAGTGCGTATTCCGCCATTTATCCCGAACGATCCAGAACTATGGTTTTCGATGGTCGAAGAGAACTTTACAACAGCCGGTGTGACAAAGGATGCGACCAAATTTGGGTACATTACCGGAGTGTTAGAACCGCGGTATGCGTTAGAAGTGCGCGATATAATAGTGAACAAACCCACGACCAACGCGTACGGTGTGTTAAAATCTGAACTCATAAAACGCCTCAGCACGTCCCAAGAGCAAAAGACGCGGCGCCTGCTAGAATTGGAAGAAATGGGCGGCAGGAANTTTCCCTTCGATATCATTATAAGCGGATTCTACTGTATAAATACAATACAAATCAAAAATCTATCACTCGCCAGTAATGAAATTGCATTATCTTCCTTTTGGTTTTTCATTTTTCTTTTGATTTTGAACAGCAATAATAAAATACCTCAAACAGGACCATAAAACTTCCAATAGATACCGTACTTTCAGACATAAAATTGTTCGGTCAACTTTTATTACGTTTCTTTATTAGAACTTTTACTTTAATCTGATTCTAAGTTTTAACATCATACAAGTTCCAATTAAACAATCTGATGAAGTAGAATTTATTGCAACTGTTAACTGCTTTCTGATAAAAAAGCGCAACAAATTCAGACAAGTTTTCTGAAGAAACCACACAAATTGATTGGATTATTCTTTTGAGTTATTGGTTGTCAATTAAATTAAGTTTTTACAATAAATAATAATCGGACAACAGAAAACTCATCTTCCTTGAACGCTACGTTAACACCTCCTTATTAAAGGATATCTATGACGTCTAAAGACGTACGTAACAGTTGTTATTACTAGACTTGTAAATATGTACTAATAGATAATTTAAAATAGCGTTATGTAAATACGCCTTTCATAAAATGGGCAACCGTGTTTGGAATAAGAAATTTGTGTTTAAGCGCATTAGATTCAGATCTAATACTAAGTATCTGTGTGACGTGTGGTTTTAGAAAGGTGAACTAATATCACGTTTCTATGCATGGACGACCAAATGGACTCCCAGCGCGTCAAAACTCGTGCCCTTAGAAACCCTACGAAAGATAATTTCGAATTCATTACCACAGAAACGTGCGGATGCATGTGGATAGACAAATATAATACATTTCCCTACAACTGCCGCCAAAGACACTAATAAATTTTCTTACGTAAGGCTGTGATCTATAAATATCTGGAGTCAATCCCGTCACATCACTGTAATAAATGACTTATAAGAGACTGATAAATAAGGACTGTCTTGTACATAATACCATCATCGTAATGCCACAGTACATATTTATATAATCTGTGTCTGTACACTGTGTTTAATGCCTGTAGCAGTCCAGTTGGTTTGTGACTGCCTGCAAAATACGCCGGCACTTTATGTTAGGTCAACCTACTGTATCGAATATCCTTAAAATGGGGTCGTGTTGGACGAGAGGGTGTCTCAATTTTTTTGACCTTTTGTTCTGGACATATTTTGGTTCTTGTAGTGTTCCAGAATCAATTGTTTCGGTCAATTGGACGTGGAGCGTGACTATAATTTATCGATCGTGACCTCTGTGCGCAAGTTAAAATGAACTTGACATTCCTCGACCCCCATAAAAATAGAAATTCTTGTGCCAGATTTGCGAGAATTACTTAATAATAAAGCGCAAAGTTGCAGTTGAGTTTATAAAACAATCTAAGGGTGGGAGTGTCGAAGAAGAATTTTCATTTTAACTTTAACAACCGAGAATTCTGCCTTAAGTTTATATTAATTTGGAATGTTTAAGTGAAATTAAAAATGAACAACTGATGAACGAAATACGTATGGTAGATAAATATGTATAGTCTAAAATTGTTTTTAACTTATTTGTTTACTTACTCTAAAACAGTAATAATGATGTTGTTGGTATTGTTTGGTGTACTATTTTCGTTAGGGATATTGTTATTATTATTATTTGGGTCTAAAACTAGGTAATAATGTCAAAATTGGCCCGGGTTGAACAGAAGGCTTTAACACTTCCCACAATTTTCTAAAAATATGCAGTGAATGAGACACGTTTTACGTAAAATATTGTAATAAAATCATTCGCGAACGGTAATGATCGAAAAAGTTGTTTGGCAAAGGTAAGACATCTAAAAATAAATATTGTAAATGTAAAAATGTGTATGCTCGCCTACAAAGTCTTTGTTTCCTGTATGCAGAATCAGTGGCAAGGGTGTATTGGTTATAGGCATAGGTAGTTTAATTTATTGTCTATTTCTGTATGTTTTTAATCGCAAATTATAAATTGGTTTTGATTGAAAAATTGATAAATAAAGTTAAGTTTAAAAAGAACACAAAAACCGACTTCAAGACTAGACCTACATGTACAATTAACTTAAATTAAAAAGTAGAAAATAATATTTTAATTACCAAAGCAAAAATAACCTTAATATATGCCTAGTTGATTAATCAATTAATATATGAATGCGAAAGTAGAGATTAGATAAAA